TATTATGTTACTGGAAACTAATGTTTAATGATAAAAGAAACTGGGGGAGAGCTTTTATATCTCTCGATCTATTATACTTCCAATGTAGCTGTGAGTAGGGCAGGAAACAAGAAAAATGAAAGGAGATAAATAGGAAGAAAGCAAAAGAGAGAGGTAAACTCATCATATTCTTTAGAGTATCTGTACAAAGCTTTATGCAATATGAAAATGTGGGTACAGATGCAGAGCTTTCAAGACCTATTAAACCTATTCTACCATGGGGGGACAGTCATTCAGTTTTCTGTATACACACCCACCTACACTGGGCGATAGCCATGCATTTCACTTGAATTCTTCAGAGTTCAGATATCCCAAGGCAGAAGACCAGACAGACCATCCTGCTGTCGGCATTTACTGTATTTGGGGTTTTTGCTTTTGTTTTTAGTGAAGGACAAGTGATATAAAAGGAACTGTTATGACCAAAGAATGTGAAACATAGCTCTCTGTTGATCGTCAGTGTTGTTGATGTCTGTTGTAGAAGATTTGACAGACTGTACCGAATACACCTGTAAGTATACTATTTTGCCTGTCACACAGTGCTTGCAGGTGGAGCTGTGAGTAGGTGCTCAGTGGATCATACCCTAAAATAAAAATCCCAATGCACAAAATAATGAACCTATTAAAAAGTGCTTTAATCCACTCTCCAGAATATTGTAGAGTTTCATATAAACCAAAGTAGACATTTCTGGTTTTCTTCCTGAGAAAAAAGCTAACACTTAACTTTCTCAAGCCAACAGTAGTTGAATTTCATACTTAGGAGAATGCTTGAATTGTATCAACCATGCAATAGGACAAAATAATTCTAAATCTGCTTGGACATTAAAAGTTTGATGGGTTGTTTTTTCCCCATTACTTTTAGGCAACGTCTTCTGCCTTAAATATACTAATACAGAAGGGTCTCTCCATTGTGTCTTCCAGTCTGCACGCAAGACAAAGATTCCAAATTAGTCTTTCCCTCCTCAACTGGACTCTTTGAAAGGGTCTACAAACCTGAGCTTGCTTGTTTGCTCATAGAAAAGCGGCTTGTGCTGTCTAACATCCATTCCAGTTCATCCATCAGGCTCATCTTCACAGAGAGTACAGCAGCGAGCACAAAGCACACACACAGCTCTTCACTTGCTGCCTCACTACTTACCCTCTTTAAAGGGTCATACGGAATTAAACTCACAGAAATTAAATATTTTTCAATCAAATTGTGTGAAGATGCAATCCAAGTAGAAGATCCAAGAGGAGGAGCAGTTTGGAGGCAAGGAGCTGAAGGAGAGATTGAAATACTCCTAAGATGATCAAGCAATAGAACCGCTGCCAGGTGTTTGTGCTCATAAATGAAAATAATTCCTAGAAACCAGACACAAGGTCCTGTTGTGCTGGGCAGTTGGATACTTATAAATTTTTAAGTCCTTTTATTTTCATCTTGACTTCCATAGTAATTTTCATATTTTTCTGTTTTAGTTTATTCTTGTTCATACTCTAATAAAACATATATATTCTGAGTTTCAAAGCTATTCTGAATCTCCTTTTAGATATTACTGTAATGAAATCATAGAATGTTTTGGGTTAGAAGGGACCTTTAAAAGTCATCTAGTCCAACCCCCCTGCAGTAAGCAGGGACATCTTTAACTGGATTAGGTTACTCAGAGCCCGGTCCAACCTGACCTTGAATGTTTCCAGGGGTGGGGCCTCCACCACTTCTCTGGGCAACCAGTTCCAGTGTCTCACCACCCTTATTGTAAAGAACTTCTTCCTAATGTCTAATCTAAACCTACCCTGCTCTAGTTTAAAACCATTGCCCCTTGTCCTATTGCGACATGCCCTTGCAAACAGTCGCTCCCCAGCTTTCTTGTAGGCCCCCTTCAGATATTGGAAGGCTGCTGTAAGATCTCGCTGGAACCTTCTCTTCTCCAGGCTGAACAACCCCAACTCTCTCAGCCTGTCTTCGTAGGAGAGGTGATCCAATCTTCTGATTATCTTTGTGGCCCTCCTCTGGGCTTGCTCCAACAGGTCCATGTCCTTCTTGTGCTGAGAGCTCCAGCGCTGGACACAGTACTCCAGGTGGGGTCTGACCAGAGCAGAGCAGAGGGGCAGAATCCCCTCTCTCAACCTGCTGGCCACGCTTCTTGTGATGCAGCCCAGGATGCTACTGGCCTTCTGGGCTGTGAGTGCGCATTGTTGGCTCATGTCCAGCTTTTCATCCTCCAGTGCCCCCAAGTTCTTTCCCTCAGGGCTGCTCTCTGTCACATCATCCCCCAGACAGTATTGATAACGAGAACCGTGCACTTGACCTTGTTGAACTTCATGAGGTTTGCAAGGGCTCACCTCTTGAGCTCGTCCAGGTCCTTCTGGATGGCATCCCATCCCTCTGTCATGTCAACCGCACCACTCAGCTTGGTGTCATCAAAATGGTCCAGGCAGATGTCCCGTAAAGCCTTGTATATTTGGGGGTCCTTAGTGCTTGTATTCATTTGTATACATTTTTATAGCTTTAATAGGTGCAAAAGTAACTTTCAAATGTTACTTTCTATTTATATGTGGAAGATGCAGCCCTCCTTGGCTCACTGTTTTGCTCAGCTTTAGAAGATGACAGCCCTTTCTAGATATTTCACCACAGCCCTATTCTTAGGAAGGGGTGAGGTCTCAGTCTATCAATAAATGACCTGCTGTGCTATCCCTTACAAATTTAAAAAGCACATCAAACTTAGCCAATACTAAATGCTTTGGAGGGAAACATGAAAACAATTGTTTCCAGCAGTTCTTGTTTCATACCATATTAGAGCTTCTAACAGCAGTGGGAAGTCAGGAGAACTGGAAGTCTTTTTCTGGAAAGGTGATTTTTCTGTTGTATCATTATTCAAGCTCACAAGTGACTAACAAAAAGAAGAATCAGGAACACTTGGGTATTTCCCCTCTGTTCTTGGAAGTCCAGAGATGTCTAGTAACTAATTACATTTTATATTTTATAACTGTTAATATAATTACCCCTCACTTTAATTTCTTGAGAATGTGGTTGGTTTTGGTTTTTTGCATTCTGTGATTCTAATAGGTAATCTTTTTTTTTTTTTTTTGCATTTTTTAATTCAAATAGATATATATTTTCCTGTGAATTTTACTTTTTTCCAAAGTGTGTGCCATTTTCCATTAATGTAAATTGCTTCTGCTGTACTACTTGACTTTCTGAATCTTTATGGAGGTATCTTTTAATATTTCATATAGCAAAACTTCTGTTTCATCTGGAGTTATACATCTTTACAGCCTAATTTTAGCTATATTTACTGTTTACCACATAATTGCAGTTGTTCAGCGGTAGAGGACTTCTATTGTTAGTAAACTTTTTTATTAACTATCTCTTGCAATGCATTTTTGGGGATACAAGAGGCTTGGGGTATCTTGTTATTTTTCTGAGGAAGTAGTGTGACTGACTGACTGATTTTAGGCCACAAAGAGAAAGATAGTGCAAATGAAGTAAGAGCATGATTCCAGTACTGGCCAGATACTCTTTTGACTGCACAGATAATCTAAGAATGTGTTTCCTGACTACAGTATAGAAGTCTCTATGGATGCATACTGCCCTTTCATGAATAGAGAGAATCTAACATGGAGAATTGAATTTGTGGTTTAATAATTGCTGATCTGTTTTCCCTGATAACACTGGTCTCTTCTCCCTGGTATCCAGTGAAAGGACATGTGGGAATGGTGCAGAGCTACACCAGGGGAGGTTCAAACTGGACATTAAGAAGTATTTCTTTACCAAGAGGGTGGTCAGACAGTGGAACAGGCTTGCTGGAGAGGTGGTTGATGCCCCAAGCCTGTCAGTGTTTAAGAGGCATTTGGACAATGCCCTTAATAACATGCTTTAACTTTTGGTCAGTCCTGAATTGACTGGTCAGGCAGTTGATCTAGATGATTATTGTAGGTCCCTTCCAATTGAAATAGTCCAGTCTACTCTAAAATAAAATTTCTTCTTATTATTAACTGTAAAAATCTTGTGTAGTACTTTACTTTATTACTAGGATAAACTCTGTTTTCCATAGAGGCTAGAATATTCTTCTTTTGCTGTAAATGTCCTTTGCTTAACAAATCCTTATCACCCTCTTTCAACATCTCACAGACTTGCAAAGTATCTAATAAGTTAGAGAAGTTGATATAGATAGGACCAAATGGCTTCTATGTCTGTTTTAGTTAGATGAATTAAACTCATATGTGATAGCCGATGTGTTATCCGCCGTTGTGTTGCTTTGTACTTTGAGGGATAAGCCGATGTTCTTGAAATCTTGTAAGTATACACAGAATTCTTATCAAAATTCCAATTTTTTGCTCTAAAAAAAGTGACATCTTTTAATGACAGAATATTTAAACCACAATTTATGTATCTTTTTCCATGTTTTGTCGGGGCATAAGTTTACAAGTACTTCTAGTTAGTCAACTGATGGTATGAGCGGACTTGGACGATGTGGAAAATGAAGATGTTTCTTTAGTTTCCTTTCCAGGACTAAGTCATCAGTCGTGGACATTAAAAATCTAATTGAAAAGGAGGTTGTCAGGTTTTGGGGAGGAGTCTTGAACTATGAAGATCATTACTTGACTGAGAGAAACTTTTTTGTACAAATGCAATGAAGACCCATAATTGAAGTCATTGTTCATTATAGTAATGCATTCTAACGCTGGATGGAATTTTAACATTGCAACAGAAGTGTTCCTTTTATTTTTCACATAGATTTTAGATGAACATTTCTTTCTCATTTACTGTAAATTGTACTGTCATGAACATTTGCTGTCCAAACAGGCATTGGGTATCGAGTGCTTCATTTGAGTTCCACAATTTTAAGCTCATTGGATTTTGGTCCATCACTTGTAAGATGTTGTCAATTAAAGTAGTCAGGAGGGCAGTTTAGGAATTTATCTTGTTCATTCCCTGTAGTCATGAAAATTTTTCTTTTCTCTTTCCATTCTTTACATTTAAATAGGAGGACAGTTGCCTTCAGATGATACAGAACTCACTAACGGTTACTCTCGCTTCAGTCCTGCTTCATGAGAACTTCAGAAGATACTAACTGAGGTATTTATTTGTTCTTTTCATTTTTAGAATTTCTACTGTGCAGATATTAGATAGGCACAAGAGCAGACAAAAGACATAATGAATCTAGGCCAAGAAGAGTAATCATACGTGGAAAATAACGCAAAAGTTCTGTCCATAGAGAGAGCTACTGGGTGATGCAATCTAATCTCTTTCTATAGCGAGGCCCTATGTTAGTCAATCTTTTTTTTTATAAATTGAGAAATCAAATAATTGCAAACATGCCAAAAGGAAACATATTAAAATGCAGTTAAAATGTTGCTTTTTTGGGGTCTTCTATCCAGTTTTATCTGATGCTCAGCTTTTCTCCAAGAATGGACAAAAGATTTTGCAGGAAATCCCTAGACATGAATACCCAATCATCTAAATGATGACTGCATAATGAACCCTTCCCAACTATCTGGCACTTATAGGTTTCTTCCTGTAATACTTACAGGGAATTTCAATTCAGGAAGAGCTTTGATGTTAACACAATATACAAATGCCTTCATCCCAGTTTATCTTTCATAAATCCATGAGATTAAATATAATGGCTGTTTTAAAGATATTGATAAATATTTTATTATGAAAAATATTTGTCATTTTTGTCAGATACCAGTGAATTAATTCCTTTGTACAGAAAAGAACTTCTCCATTTGTATATGTAAACAGAGTCTGATAAAGGATTAATGGCCACAGAATTCATAAAGGGAAAAAAGTATCTTGTAAGCCAGTTGGGTTTGTGTCAAGCCTAAATTTATAATCTGCAGCTGTTAAACATCTGATAGGAGCTTCATCTTCTAAAGCGTGATAACAGTGGGAGTGTGTGGCTAGAAAAAAAGGAAACATTGTGCTTTGGGAAATGAAACTGTCCAAACATATGTATAATGATTGCAATGTTTCACAGAGCACAAAACCTTTATTCTGTAAATCTTATAAATGTATGTTTTAATGCTTTTTAAATTGCATACAGCTACCAGCACCGATTCTAAAATACTGTAGGTTGAACAGGGAGTCTTTTGGTCAGTGTTTGTGTAGTCGGTCTAATGTAAGCAGTGCCAGGCTGAAATTCTTGTTTCTGCATTTGAGAACTAAAAGCTTAAGTACCACTGCAAAAAGGTTTCTCATAATTCCTATAATATCATCTTAAAATATGTAACAGATGCAACTTTTTTTTAATAGCTCTTGATATATGTATGCATTTTCCTTAAATACCAAGAACGGCTTAACTTTTTTAGAAAAGCTTGGTAATTGTTATGTAGTTATTGTATATATTTCATGTGAACTATTAGAGGTATATTATAATAAATGTTTTTTAAAGAGACTTGATATACCAGCCAGTATAGATTGTGGTTAGAATAATGTTAGCATTAAAATTTAAAGTTTTCAGAAAAAAGACTATTAAAGTCAGTTGGATGTTACATATGGATTCAGAAGAGAAAGCAGAAGTCTTTTTTGTTTCTCGTTTTGCATTGAGTGCTGTTAGCAGCTGACTTTGTTAATTCTATTGTTTTTACGTGCAGATTCTATGAAGTTCTGCATATTCTCAGATTTTAATAAAGCAGTTGGCATTATGTGACAGGTTGGGCCATTTTAGTATGCATTATGGATTGGTTATGTCTTACACTGGGGTAGTTCATTTCTGGAGTCAGTACACAACTATTTTAGCAGTAGAATTGGCCGCTTATGTCACAGATTATAATTAGCAGTGTCTGTATGCCAAAGCAACGGGATGGAATGCAAAACACAGCCAAACATGTGAACGAATTTTCTTCCAGTGATATTTGGCCAGGCCTAAAATATCTTCCACTCCAGATTTGTAAGTAGTGGAAAAGTTAGACAATTCCCTCTTGGGAAGAGACTGATTGCAGTTTATTAGGAAGTCCCATTTGTTTCAGATCTCTAAGGTAAGTAGCAATTTCTTAAATTTCTTTTTCTATCTGTATTGAAATATTAGCATATTAATAATTGAGTTGCTTTTATTTTTGTTACATGGCTGTATGAGCTTCTCCCCTGTCTGATTTTCTGTGCAGCATTTCAGGCTGATTCTGTCCTCATTTAAGGATCATGTTAATGCTTATGTGATTTATTTTAGGACCTAAATTTAAGTGTTTGTTTTTATATACAATTATTATTTTTGATTCTGATAGTTTAATATAGTTCTGATAGTTTGTTATACTTGTTTTTACAATTAAATGCAGTATTAAGGTGCATAGTTTAAATTCGCACATGTGTGATATTAAGAAGCTAATTTACAGTACTTTTAAAATCTTTTACATTATCATATTATTGTCCTTATATAAATATCTGATTTGCAGTAGTGAATTGATATTTGTAGTTCTAAATTATTCTCAGTTTATCTATCACACACTGAAAGTTAAATTTAGTGAAGAATGGATCCATGCTTCTGCTGAACACTTCTTTTTGGCTCGACAGTGTGATAATAAACTTCTATTTGAGAAAATGTTACCAAAATCAGTTCTAACTTCTGTGAAGCGTACTTCAATTAATATGGGGCATCCAACTACGTGTATACAGAACTCCTTTTACAGGTCTGAAATCTCCTTGAATTCAAATACATTTTCTTTCAGATAATTTCACTGACTGAAAGAAAATTACTAACGAGGTATTGGTGGGTTACTGATCCATTATCAAGTGATTTAATAGATGATACTTGGTGTCTCACCACCAACAGGTACTCACACTACGTAGTGTATCATGCATCAAAATGAGCACAGAAGTTCCTAAAACAGGATATTGCCAAAGTGTAGGAATGTGATTTGACTGCATCAGCACCAGTCAAATAATCCCCTTTTATAGAGATATGGGTGGTTTCACTAAATCTGTCTTAAATCGCATCTTACTTGAGGAGATGAATCATGTCCTAGAAGTATCTGCCTGTCTCCACTGGCTGTGGAGAGGGCCTAGGTAAGTATGGCTGATGTTACCTGTCTTTGGTGAGATGAAGTCTGGCCTGCACAGCCACATCCAAATCAGTAATCCATGTGAGTGAACTGTAGTAACTTTGCGCCGCAGAGTTCGGAAAGTTTGCAATCAGTTAAGATTTTGGAAGTTTTGGCTGTGGTGCATAGTCACAACCAATGCCACCATGGCTGAGATGAGTGTCCCTTTATCTTCTAAATGAATGTGATATTCATATGTTAGATATAGACCTCCATTTCATTACTTAATGAAGGACAAATGGTTCTAGAATACCACCAAAGGGTAAGAACCACTGTGTGGAATTAAATTAAAAATAAAAAGATGTAAATTAAGACCAGTATTAGAGGGAACCATTTAAAATCTCTTTTCTAAACCTTTACACTTTTGTTAATAATGTGCAACTTCTTCCCAGTTGAAAACCTGGTGGTTAAAAGCAGGTTATATTTTAATTCTTGTTGATAATCATAACGCTTTAGTAACACTATGAAGATACAATATTCATCCTTACTGTAATAGGTTCATAATTGTACCGATGTGTGACTATACTTAGTGTTGAGAATACTCATGCAAGAATATATGTTTTAAGCTAAAGGAAAAGAGTTTTGGAGGAACAGTTGAAAGAAAGAAATGGATATAGTGTATCATACAAAGCCAAGCCTCTGCCAAAAGGCACAGACAGGTTGGGTGTATGAAGATCCTCTTGCTTGAACAACCTTGTGGCATTTATTCCTTCCTGTGAAACGCAATGCCTTTTACATGAGATACAAATCCTAGGTCCTGACCTCTTACAGTTTTTAATTATTTTCATGACTTGGAATTCAGTAAGCTGGATTTCCTGTGGACTTATTTCTCAGTTGATTGTCTTAGATCTTTAACAAGCAGTGACTGAAGGTGTTCTGTAACAGAGACATCTGCAAGGTTTTTCTCTCAAACAGGTTTTCTGCTATCTAATAAGGTCTTCTTGCCCATTGCAGTCTCTCAGTGGAGACTAAGTGGGGTTTCTTCACTCTTCTGTCTCATTTTCAGAAGGTTTGTAGGAATGTAGTATTTCTGAGACCTCTGCTTGTCTGTTGAATTTGGTTGAAATTGGCCAAAAAGCTCAAAAGCTATTGTAGGAGGGAGGGAAATGAGTGGGAGACAGATGATTTAGACAGTGACATAGTGGTAGTTGCTTTGATATTTATTAAACCGGGCTAAAAGCATCATGGCAGTTTGGATAACAGGTTAATTTAATATCCTGGTCAAATTTTCAGCTTGGGTAATAATATTCTCACTATTTAATTCATCTGTAACTTGGGCTACCTGGGCCAGTCTTCTCATTAAACCTTTTTGTATATCTGCCAAAAGCTGTTAAACAGCTGCTGCATTTCATGCTGTGGTTGGTTATGTTTCTGTGGGGGATGAAGTACTACCTCTGTGTAAGAATGTAAAGAGGAATATAAGCTGAAGTACATCAATATTTTTAAATTGGAGTATGGTATGTGCTAAGTGTTGAATATTGTTGGTATTAGCCATAAAACACATGGTTTTCACTAAGACGTGTTGATTTGTGTGTGTGCGTATCTATATCCTGATCCAATGTGCAGCATTTCAGATTTCATATCTGCTTTTGGTATGAGGAGGCATCACAGTTTATCAAACAATTGTCATGGGAGGTTGGTAGCTAACAGTATTGTCAAGTCAATTGCACCTGCATGAAGTTCCTTTAAATCAATAAGAATTGACTGTAATATTGACTTGAATTTTACTCGGAAATACAAGGAAAGAAATGGACAGATTCAGAGTTTAAAGCTAAAAAAGTAACAGTGAGTGTTATTTTAGTATCAGCATTCCCTGTGAGCGGAAAAGTCACAGGAGCGTATTTGGGAGACTGGCAGAAAAGGTTGTAGTTTTGTTTGCCTGAGTGAAAATTTTCATAGTAGGGATAAGAAAATGATGATAGATTTCAGTATGTGGAGGAGGAGTTTGGCCAGAGTGCCAACCAGGAGAGAGAGAGCGAGCGAGCATGGTGGACACTCCCAAAATTCTGCATGGATGAGGAGACAAGGCTGTATCGCGTT